CAGGACCTCGCCACCTTTGAAGAGCGCGGGGTGTAGACCATCCGGGCCAGGTGCCCTGTCGCGCCTCAGGATTGAAATCTCACGATGGATTTCGGTTGCTGATGGGGGGGGGGGTTATGCCAATGTTCCATTCGGGCCCGCTTGGTTCTTCCAGCGGTTGTGTTTAAGGGGACCAGGTGAACTGTTCTTTAAAGTGCTCAGTTTACCACCCAAGACGGCGATTGAAGGAGTGAATTGCTGTTCCATCTTTTTCGCATATTGTCTCACTGATACCTGCCTTATTTTGACCCGTTGGTCGGATCAGTTGAAACAGGGCGCGGCTGTTGCCTGCAGCGAAAGCCTTCTGCATCTCCTGTGTCTTCGAAATCCACCAGCGTTCCCTGTCACTGTTGAAGCTCCTACTTATCCGGTGTTTGAGGGATCTGCGTGCGCCATCATAGTCGCTAGTTTCTGGTATGGCCTTTCTGGCGGTAATAAGACCTGCTGATCTCAAAGATATCCAGTGTTCATTGAGTCGAGTCAGATGGGCTAGACCAGCAGTTCTGAAAGCTGACAGCATTGCTTCTCTAACTCGCCTCCGTTCATCCTCCAAGCCATCTTCGTTGTCCACATGACTGTGTGTTTCCAGTAGCTTCCTAGCCAGATCAGCTCGATACTCTTCAGCTACTGGAGCTTGTCGAAGTCGATGAACGGAGCTGCTCTCCTTCGGCACGCGTAGTGCTGACAGAAAGCGAAGCGCGCTGGCGGAAAGCGAAGCGCTAAGCGGGCCTGCACAATGGCATAATCAGAGTCAAGTTGAGTACCCCAGAAGGAATGACAATCCTTAACTGAGGCTCTCTATCGGTAACTGACTGCCAAACGGTCCGAATGAGTCCATGACTGTCTTGTGGTAAGTGGCCTCCAAGTAACTCATTGTGAGCGTTTGTGCTGGAAGTTCGTACTGGCCAGGAACAGACGGTGATCTGCACACAATTGAAGAAACCGCTCTCCATCATCGACTCCAAACCTACCACTTAACTGTGCTTCGTCCAAACTTAGTCGTCCAACTTGGGCATTCATATCACCCACCAAGATTACCATATCCGTCCTTGCCGACCGAAGCATTCGTGACAGATCTTGATAAAACTCGTCCTTCTCAGTCTCAGAACTGCTATCTGTTGGGGCGTGTGGTGATACAACAAACACACCGTTTACTGCATCTAACTGCGTTAATATTACTTGAGCCGGTGAACCGAACTGTGAAAAGGCAACTGTTTACTGGAATTCAGTCTAGCAAGGCGCTTTCAGCCTTGGAGCTGAGTGCAACTCGCACACCGTAGATACCACGAGCCATGTCGTCAGGATCACCGGGTGCCCGAAGAGTGAAATGTGGAACATCTGGGCTCGTTCCAACCGGCTTGAGGAGCACGACCGAAGTGGGGTCTTGTACGTATGTTCGGGAGACACAACATAGAAGGAGGGAAAGTAAGGCTTCATCAAGGGATGCCTGTTGCCCATTGAAGGCTGCAACGCGGATCAGATCTTTTGTGGCTAGTAGGTGGTTATTTTGGTTTATTTTTCTAGGCTATAGTTGCGACATTCAACAGTGGCTAGGGGACTGACAAATGGATTGATTCCACTGCACTGTGCGATGGGTTGGAATGGAATGAGGGGGAAGGTCGGTGGTCGAAGAACTGCAAGGGCAAATGATACTTTCTGGTGGCCCAGGCCGAAGAAGGGGGTTTAGTTGAGGTACCCCACCTTGAGCGTTCGACTCAAAAGTCTGACCCACAAGGCAGTGGGACGATGTGGGTCTTGTTCGGGGACCCTGCCCCTGACCTCTAACTCAAAAGTCTGGTTGTTAGGGTTTTTCCGAAGCCAATACTCAATAGTCTGACCCATTTGGCTGCATCGGGCCGGTCTGGCCCGAGGGCGCAGGGAGTAGGGCATTACTGTCTCACTCCTGATGCGGCTGCGCACAGCATGTACTTTTTGAGCAGCACCGGGATCTTTTGTTTTAAAAGTATTTCGACCGTATTGAATAATGCGCCAGGCGTCACGGTCAACCGTTGGGCGATTGGAGTATGCGGTTTTCGGGGCCGACCTTTTCCAACCCGTCCTTCCTCGGGGAAAGGCAGCATCGCTTCTTCCATGCATATGAACATGCTGGGCGTCTGAGGGATACACCTTACTGCCTTCACATTCCCGTTGACAGTACGACTTTACCTCCAGACCGCTTCGTAATACGATTACTCGCAGTACGGAGACTCGCGGTTATTCATCGGACTGCTCCCCGTTGGCCTTTCTGTCTTTGATGAACCTTTAGAAACTGAGTTCCAGCCAGTATGATTCGCAGGTTCATTGCTGCACAGAAGCCCGACAACCACGGCAAGATGACAGCTTTGAGTCGGGGCCAAGGCGCATTCGACCGGGTTGACAGGTCTGTTCTCCCTGATACGCTTGCCCGTAAGGAATACCGCGGAAGTTTATGAACATAATACGTTCTTTGTATTCTTAGACTTCCAGACATGTTAGTGCATTCGAGAAGCTCTCTAGGAGCCTCCGTACATAAAGCGGTGTTCGTCATGTCTTCAAAACCTCGGTGTTCAAATGTGCTCTGGCGAAAACCTTGTCGATTTGGAATATGCAGACGACATTGTTCACGTCTTCGAAGAGGAGGGGAAGGCGCACGTGTTTTTTGATGATCTGACCAAGGTCATCCCGTCCTTTGGTATGCACTTTGCAGCCACAAAGTATAAAGTCCTGCTCGTGGACATTCAGTCACTGAGCGCACCACTTACAATCCAGGGAGAGGCATTCGAAGTTGTGGAACGCTTTACGTACTTTGGAAGCTGTATTAGTTCTGATTGTAGTGTAACAGATGAGGTCAATGCATGAATCTGCCAGGTCCGGGTCGAGTTTGAGGCACATGGCATCAGAGTAGTGTATCCCCGCATGAATCTGCAAGGCCCGGGTCGCGTTTGAGGCACCTATGGCATCAGAGTAGTGCATCGCGAATCTCAAGGGATGTGTGCATCAAGCTACAGTACGGGCTGTTTTGTTGTATGCATGTGAAACTTGGCCTATTCGAGCAGCAGAACTGAGACGACTTCAGATATTCGACAGCCGTTGTCTCAGGACCATGGCTCGTGTAGGTTGGTGTCGGAGGACACGTAATGAGGCATTTAGAAGGCGAGTTTTCTGTTGTGCAATAGGAACTTCCATTGAAGAATGTGTCCAGCACGAGAATCTGCGTTGATTAGGTCATGTATTGCATATGCTGAACCATCGTTTGCCGAAGAGAGTGCTGTTTTCCATGCCCAATTCAGAGTGGCGGAAGCAGATAGGTGGCCAATCATTGACCTAGCAGATGGGCATGAAGGAGATTACGAAACGTTTGGATGCTGTCGGTGCTACTCGCCTATCAGGATGGGGACCGCGAGATCCCCACTGCGACTGGTTGGATGCGCTGCGAGATATGGCTGCTAATCAATATCAGTGGTATTCTCGTTTTCAGTCTCTGTCCAGATTGCCTGAACAAGTGTATGAAGGTGTGGGCACCTCGGAATGATTGTGGTAAGTTAGTACTAAGCCACTTACCTGTCCACCTTTATTCTTTCCTTCACAATAAGGCTTTCGAATAAATCATGGTTGTATGGCAGCGAAGCATCAGTGTCGAACACTGATGTTATGCTGTCCATGATGATGATTTACAGTTGGACGATTATTTTATGATTATCTATTGTTGACTATAATTTTTTGGCTAATGGGCCTGTTCCTAAACTGCACTGTACCAGCCACAACGTCATTAAAGTGCTAGCCTTGCTTTCGTATCAAAGGTACGGTAGTAGATTGGATGGTCTATCAGGTCGTGTGCCTCGTCCTCTATTCATACTCCCCCACTACTTTGTCCCCATTTCTTCATCTCCAGTTCGCACCCTTCCCTATACGATGGAGACATTTTCCGTACCGATGGTTAATTTGAGCTTAGTGGACCTTGTTTGCTGCTTTCTCGCGGTCCTATTGTTTTTATACGTTCGGTTCAGACGGGCTGCTCTAGTTATGTCGGCGCGAAGATCTCCGGAGTAAGTTCTTATGGTCTAATCTTTATAAAAAATTATAGAGCTACACGACTGGGAACCTCTAGTATGAAAACACTCATGGAGGAGACGATTCAGCATGTATGTTGTGCTACTTGTGAGTGATTTTATGTAAGTAGAATACCCGCCTATTTTTGTTCTACGGATCGCAGACTGGAACTGCTGAGCACCTTGCCATTGGCTTACATTCCTTCTTTTTCTATCAAGGGCTTTGCCCCTTGTTACTTAACATTGCGGCTTGTGATATGGTTAGTACCGACACGTTATCGTGAGTTTTACCTAATTGTATGCGTGAACTTGTCATGCTTACAAAATTGGATGGTATTGCACGGCAGTTTAGTTTCTGCTATCTCCAAAAATAAGTTTTCCATTTCTTTTCCAGGCAGAATTGAGCAAACTGGCTGTTACACCCAACTCGTTGGCCATTTTCATTTTGGCAACACACGGCTACGGTGAACCGACAGATGACGCCCGTGAGTTTGTAGAGCACTTAAGACAAAGGACGACTAAAATCACTGGGTTGCATTTCGCAGTGAGTCATTCCCTATTGGTTTCTACGCAACATGTCCATAGAGTCCTGTTTCAGTTAGAACGGAAGTATCTGACTCGCACGGTTGCCTTCTTTTCTCAGTATCTCCGGCAACCAAGATGGTCGTTCTACGATTTTTTGCTTGGTCTTCGAAATAGTATCATATTGTTGATGTGAATGAGTGCTGAAACCGTGGTGGAATGAATAACGGATTAGCTTTATTGGCCTTCCGGTGAGCTGCATTTGGAGGGTGGGCGTTACGTATTTCAAATGCCTATGCTTGTTCATAGTTGGTATGGTATAGCTGAGCCCTAATGTGGTACGACTGTTTTAGCATTGGATTAGTGACAACACTAGGAAAATAGTTGTTCCTCATCGGCTTGACACCCATTGTCTGTTCTTTTGGACAACCATGAACTGTGAGAATGATTGCAGTGGTTTCGGTCGCCACAGTCCCCAGACACAGAAACATGAAAGTAGAGCGACAAAATGTCGAAGAGTGAACGAAAGGAACATTATTCAATAAGTGACTCCATGATTCAGCCATGTCGGCGCAGGAAACGTGCTCTCGCAAGTAACCTCAACTGAATTGCGCTTTCCCAACAGTGATCCAAGCGTGTATAGTATGGCGCAACATGGTAGGCAACATGTAGGTAACATGGTAAAACAAGTCCCCTCTAAATTCAGAAAGCCACAACTGCGTCGTAGACGTTGTAGACGTTGAAATGGTCAGATGAATAGACTAACCATTCCAGAGGATAATTCACAGAAAACAAACCAGTGCCGGAAAATATATCTCTTTCAAGATTTTTTATCCCTAGGTCAAACAAAAAATACCCTAAGGTGGTTGGCCAATGGAGGAACAAGGAGTTTCTCGAATGGTATACCGCAGTCTGGGTTAAAATCACTCGAGGATATTTTCGCGAGGAGTTGTGAGTTATTCCGTTTTGAACAGAAAACTGTAGTCGGTAACGCGTGAGCCAGTGTCTCTCCGTGGGGGTAGGTGGCAAAGCTATCGTCTTCAAAGCGTAGCTCCCCAATTTCTGGACAAACTGAACATGCCTTCGCCTCCAAGGCTTGGTGTTTTATTCCACTTTCCCATTTCCTGGTGATCGAAACTGTAGCGGCTGGAACCAATGTGCCTATGGCACACGGTCTATAGCTGATAAATTGATTGAATTGATTGATTACTTTGTCCTCCAGATGGGATTACCTAGCCTAAGTGATGTTAGGGAGGCTATGAAAAAGTATTTAAGCGACTTGTGCAAATGCGCATTTGCGCATGATCCCGTAGTCACAACTTATTCTGAGCGTACGTCTAAAAGACAGTATTTCGTGATCTACAGCCTTCATGTACGTCCATCCAATTTTCTGTGCGTGACATCGTGCATTGTTCGTACAAGTCAGTCTTCTGCTAGGATTCGTCAACATTGTTTAGTTCGGCAAACAATATAGATGGCTTGTTTGTCAACGTCTCCTAGCCATTTTGGGTCGTCACACCGTTTCTGAGCGATTGTCGGTAGTCTCATATAGGAATCATCACCAACCTGTTTACTTTTGCCCAAATTTGTTTTTCACCACTGACCATAAGTTCTGCTATGACCTGAAGGACTCCCTTGCCCTCCTTATGAGAATGCGATAGTTCACATGCAAATTGGTGACGCTATTGATTCATGAATAAGTAGTGTATCGATCTGTATTCTTTTGAAAGGGATTCGTGGGGACGAGAAATACACTAATTTGCAAATCAATTTCGTTTTCATGAGAGACTCGACTGAATCTTTCGTTTTTGCTATTTCGAGTTAACCTTGGGTTACGCCGTGAGTTTACATGGATTTTCGTCATCGTAGATGTACACCAACATTTTAGTAGATCTGGGATGACAACGTCTAATCGATACCAGCACTCAACTGTCTGTTAGAGGACGATCTATTACTTTACCGTCAATTTCTAGAACTGGCGATTCGCCCTATGACGCATTGCTCAATCAATTCCCTGATTAAACCAAACCCAGATTTCACCAGCTGAACCCAAAACGTTCAGTCTTTCACTACATTCATACTTGTGGCCCATCTGTTTTAACACACTCACCTTCCTTTCGCCTCAGAGAGCTTACAGATAACCAAGGACAAATTTCAGCATACGCTTCAACTAGGTATCACCAGACCTCAAAGCTTGTGGAATTATGATGATATATATGATATATAAGTAAACGTCCTCAGATTGGCATCCTTGCACTGGCTACCGAGCACTTAACATTCTCACCATACCTGACCGTCACTCCATTCCACAACTTCATGATTTTTCTTCGTCGTCGCACGGATGCACTCTTTTCCCCATATTGACATTCTCCGCGCTTGTCATCACATCCCTGTACACTCTGTCGACATTCATAGAACTGCTATTACCATACCTTTTGGGTTATTCGAATTTTCACACATGGTCTTCGTGCAATTTGGGCTCAAGTGGAACATGAAGTTGAGGGAAACTCGAGGACTGTGCCTTCCTGATGAGCCCCAAGAAAGGCGAAACCGGTTGTGGGCTGTCGAAGGGTGCTTCTAGCTTTCATCCTAAGCGGGTTTCACTGAGCTGGATACCACAGATAAATATCTGAAGAAATACTCGTTTAGTTGTTTACTGGTTTCAGAAATACCAGTAGATAATCTCCATTTTTGGGATACATGTCGCACGCAATTACCCGTAGTTCGTGACCGTCCCTGCCCGGTGCCCCTTATCACTGGAGAATAAAACTACTTAGTTGTTGGCGGACAAACCAGTAGCTTACCCTAGTTATCCTTTTTCTTTAGTAAGGAATCCTCACTTAAACCACTAGAGCACGGTTCATAGTTGAATAACTGATCAACGTGCGGACGTTCGAAGCTACGCTCTCTTTCGTATTGTTTTGATTGGTGAAGCCCTCACACCGGTGGTTTCATCAGGTGGTAATCTAATGGGACGATAGAAGGGCTGATTTATTTGGGATCTCCTTGGGTGTTCACAAACATTCTGGTATATTCATTGTTATTGACACTCTTCTTGCATGATATACCTGCAGCGCCACCTTTTTCTTCCATTTTCCGTATTGTTTATTACTAGGTGTTTGGTCTAGGAAATAGTGCTTATGAACAATTCAATGCTTGTGCCACTCTGGTTGACCGACTTCTGCGCCGCCTTGGTGGGATACGTTTGATTGAAGTAGGCTTGGGTGATGAACTGAACAATATGGAGGGCACTTTTCTGACTTGGCAAGCCTGTCTGCTGGAAGCGATCACACAGAATTACCTGGTTTCCGATGAGAAGCTTCAGACATTTACCAATCGTATGAGACGGGTCTACAAGCCGGCTCCTCTACAATCGAAATACGCGAAACTATTCACTGGGGAACCCTACTCGCTAGGGTCTTATGAACGACAGACAAAGTTGGTTGACGGTCTTTAGGTTCAGTTTATTTCCCTTTTCTTTTTTTCTGATATAATTATTCTTGGCGGAGTCGCCTTAGTGGTGGCCATTCTCTTTCAAGCGGTTTGTTTGCTTTTCCCAGCTAGGCGGGACAACCATTTCTATCAAACGAATATATAGCAATATAATTTTTCAGATACGCTTCCAAGTGCATTACATCCCACGCTGTAGTGCTGAGTATCATTTCTTATCTGAACTTATTTCGCCGACAAACGGAAGCACTAACTTCCGGATCTATTCAAATATAGGGTCACCAGTTTAATTTGTATATGGTTCAAACGACGCATGTTGTAAAGTTTTTCGTCAAAATGTTTTGTGGAGTTATGAAACTGTAACAGGACCATTTTAGAGCTGTCTCAGCGGGAAGAAAGTTACGAAATCCACTCATCTATACACACCAATCTGGTTTTAACAGGGGACTCAACCGAATTGTGCCTAATTTTCTCGTTTATGATATTCTCCAGTTGGTATGAGATATCGCAGTATATTTTATTAAAGGAAACTACTCACAAAGTTGCTTTCGAAGAGTTTTCAGCAATCTTGTGAGTAGTTCCGTCCAAGAAATTACGGAAAGATGGCTATTTGTGTTTTGTCGTGAATTCCGTGGCTCTCTTAGCACCAAATCACGTTTAATTTGAGGCAGTTTAAGATGGTTTCTTCGGACTTTCGGTTCGTTTTGAAACTAATGAAATTTTGTTAGTTTGATTTCCTCCAATTGTTGTCTGTGACTTGGAAACCAAAGTCAATTGCTAGTCATAGAAATTCATCGTAATTTCATGGTGTTTGCACCACAGTTTTGACGCGACCTGATACCGTTCGCCAATCTATATCTGTTCCAGGCCGTTTGACGCGAAAAACCCATTTTTGGCGCGTGTGCAAGTCAACCGAGAACTACACACCGGTGGGACGCGTTCCTGTCGGCACATTGAATTGGATATTTCCGGCAGTGATTTTCGGTGAGCACGCGCATTTTTCAGTTATCTTTCAATCTTCTCTCTCTGGTACTTGCTGCCTACCAGGATCATCATTCGGGTCCTGTAAATGCTCGTGATAATACTTGGTAATAGATGTCAGGTAGCCTCCGCAGATGATAGTCGCCCTGGAGCGGTTGTTCGTAAGCTCAAAACTACGCTTTCTCTCGTTTTATTTCACCCATTCGATACATTGTAGTTACAAACCCGGGGACCACGTGGCCATTTTACCGAGGAATCCAGATACTTTGGTTCTCAGGTTCAGTGAATTGCTGGATATCGATCTAAACGGAGTGGTCAATCTGGAGTGTGTTGACGGTAAGTGGGGACTTGGTTAGGATAGCCCAATACACTTTGTGTTTCAGTTATAACGATGAATATGTGCACCGTGGTTTGGATTTTGAAGGAACCCTTTCCTGTCACAGAGTCCGAGAGTGTTAATTGCACATCTTAACTAAGAACTTTTCTAGTCAGGGAAATGGTCTGTGCATAGTGGAAAAGTCGGGATTTGTCGACAACCCATTAGTTATAGTTGAAGTACCTTGAGTGTCGTATCAAAGCCATTCTCAGATTTACTTTCTGTTTCTGGACGTCACTGTTCACGTGAATAATTTGCTGGACGCCATCCCTCATTAGCAGAGTTTGGATGCAGAAAACACCGATTCCCACAGCTCCACAAGGAGGCGTTGGAAGTAGGTCGGATGTATTCTGTTATTGAAAATTCGACACACTGCTCTCCAAGAAGTGCACGCACCTTCGCATATCTGGTGGAAATCGCGCTCTTTGTGGAGAACTTCTTCTAGGGAGGGAGAGGGCACATGCTTCAACTCGTGTACCATTTATGCCATTTTCCCGCACAACTCGAGCAGAAATCAACTGGTGAGGAAGAAAAATTACTCACTAACCTGCTGGCCTTTGCTTTTGCACGTCCTGATAAATTGTCCAAGGCATTCGTGTCCTCAGGCATCGTCACATCGGGCCATTTGCCATACAGAAAACTATCTACGGTGACAACTGGGATTTGAGAACGCGTGGTTACCTGTAAAGAATACAGCGACACCTGTGGGCACTTCAACCTCATCTCCGACTTTCAATGGCGGACCAACAGTGGACGAGAAATGATCAAAATCTTAGTGTTTTCCCGGTGAATGCAGAGTTGTTTTTTGATCGTTGGTTTGTTCGCTGAGCTATGCAGTTTGATCGCAACCGTTTCACCACTAGTGGAGGTGAAATCATCAGTACGTTGTTAAGGCACGTGAGTGGTCGTACTGACGCACCGCCACACTGCACTCCTCTCCACTCCCAACGCACTAATGGTGTCACCTCGATTAGCAATGATGTTGGTTCGCACTCAAGTTGCCCAGCCCAGCGAACAAACCAGCGACTATCTACGTTACATGAGCTACAAATATTCCCTCCAATAGCAGAGTTGTTTATCGTAAAACATGAACAGAGCGGTTGCAAGCCATTGGACTTCATAGCGAAAACCCCATTTGCACAGAATCTGAGGTCGACATTCCCAAGTGTATTGCTGAATTTTCGTGGACTTTGTTTGAATATCTAGCACAAATGAACAAGCACAGTCAAACTCAGTAATTTCTAACTCAGTTTCCGATTATATATGGGGTTGGTATTTTGAACTGTCTTAAATAGATATTACTGGTATGTTCCATCTTCAGTATACATCGATATTCTGTCAGTCTTGTAAACTGATGTATTGCATTAGTAGCAAGTGTCAAGCACTATGGTCATAACGGGCGCACGAATACCAAGTCATTCAGCGAATATCCGGATATTTCAGACAGGAAATGTCGAATGTCAGCAGCATGGTTCATGTCAAATTTAAACGTAAGCAGACTAGTAGATGGAAATTGAGGGTTGGATGTCATTCCCATCCCAACAATACACCCAGCATTTTTGTAAATGCCTCGCGAAATTCGGTCTTTCGAGGCCGTCTCATTTAGCTTTGAACCATTTTTTAGAGTCGCTGAACACCAGCCACATTTGTGATGTAGGTGGGTGTTTCTTTAAGCCGTCGTCACTGGTCAGCTGAAATATTAGAAGTCTTTTGGACGAGTTTTCCACAGCTTTCGTGCATCTTCCTTCATACCGCTTTGGCCAGCACAGTTTAAGGGCGACAACCATTAATTGGATATGTGAGCCCGCAATTATTTCCACTGCTTGTGACTTGAGTCTTGTGTATAATGAGCGGGTAAAACCAGGAAAGGAAGAAGAGCCGGCCTCGTACTTCAGTTGTCTAGGACTAAGAGGGGTAGGTGTTGATTCAACGGTGGAGTTATCGTTAACCTGCTCGTAAGCGATTTTCTGGGTCCCGTTTGGGCTCCCAGTGGTTCATGTATCCACAAATTTCGGTTCCGTATGACTTTTACTGTTTGCTATCGGGTGTCGAATAGTCCAGTCTCATGAGGCCCCTCAGGTTGGTCACCAGTTTTATAGTTGGGGGCTGTGAGTAGGTTGCCTGCAAGTGCCTACAAAAGCAATCTGCTAAACTTGAGTAACCTTAGGTTGTAAACTGTGGTCATTCCTGAGAACGCACTGACTGTGAGCATTCTGATCGTGTTTTGTAGCATCTTCATGACAGACCGTAAGAGTTTTTCGGTTCTTGAACCAAGTTCAGTGTTATTCTGTTCAGTTATCACTATTCTCATTCGTTGATCTAAGCCAGTACGCTGACATTACATGCGCAATTCGAGTCTTCCAGCCGTCGCACATGAACCTGTATGAACGTGTTTCACCGACCTGCTCATCGCTGTAATGCCGTTGTTTGTTCGCCGAAAAAAGCGTGGTCGTTACCAATTTGTACGGTTATCACATAAACTGAGCTTATCGGAGGGGAATAACAGCTCATAAGCTCATGAAGTGTAGAAGGTATAGTGGATCGGAGAAGAAAATCGTCTTTATAATTGATTAGCTTTGTGAGGCTAACAAGCTGAAATCCAAATACAAGGTGGATCGAAATATAAGCTAATAGAGATTGATGCCCCGAAAGAGGGTGAGGGGAGAAAAGTGTCATCTAAAAATGTATATTTGAAGTCATTCAATGGATGAGGCAGCACAACAGACAAATCATAGCTCATGTTATGAAATTTCTCGGTCCGCACTAATGAAAGTCCAACAGTGAAGATTTCAGTATTCACGACCAGTATGAATTTTGAACTGCAGGAGACGAGCATGTAGTGTTGAACGAACTAAGGTTTATGCCTGTATACTTTTTTTCAATATCTGGCCCACTCTAAACAACCACTGCACTATGTCGGTGTTTTCGCCTTAAAAAAGATTGGAGCGAAGATCTCATTTCGACGTGTCAGAAACGTGCAAAACACTTGTCTTGGTAAGAAAAATAGGCCTGCAGCAGAAAACGTGGACAAATGGCCTGGTTATTCTATATAAGACTATCCCTGTCATTAGGTTCGGTGTAATTTAATTGAGCCTCCCGAGAAGATGGAATATCTGTTATGACAGTTTTTGATGAAAATTGACCACATAAAGGACATAGTGGTGAAGTTCGTTTCATTTTTTTATCACTCATTGATGGTTAAGTGTGTTACTGTTAAATTCTACAGAGCAACTGATTCCGTCTAAATATTGATTGGTTTCTCATCTACTGATAGAGCAACAGAAGTATTGAGCAGCCGCGGACAGGGCAATGTGTACCAGTATGATTTCCAAATATCTAGATTAGAAAACCATCGCTTCTGAGATGAATGAAAAACAATTCATGATTATCATGTTTGTTCGGACTGATGCTTTCGAACTCCAAGTCAACGTTGGTGAACAGTGAAAAACTTAACTTTAATCGTTGTTTAGGATTCTGTCATAGTGAAGTAAGGTGATAAACATGCGCCTGAGGTCGGAATCATGGCAGAATGCTTAGTTTGTATCCAGATGTCAGGAATGTGGTCCTTCGGAGATGAGGAGGCATTCAAGTGAACATCCAATGATAATAATACATAATAATGATAACACAACACATTCTTTTCTGTGCTCGTTTGTGGATATCGTAGTAGACTCTGCCTCCGTCACCAAGACACTGAGTTTTACCGTGGTGTACTTCCGTAGCCAATTGAGCTGTACTAGGGAGTGTACGTGTGGCACTCAGAGCCTCGTACCATGTTGGTCAATGGGTGGAGGTCCGCCAACCATCGCTGCCTTGCAGTTAGGCCTCCGGTTGAGCATCTTAAGGGTCCTCAGTAGATACGCAACCATGGGCTATCCAGATGTCAGGAATGTGGTCCTTCGGAGATGAGGAGGCATTCAAGTGAACATCCAATGATAATAATACATAATAATGATAACACAACACATTCTTTTCTGTGCTCGTTTGTGGATATCGTAGTAGACTCTGCCTCCGTCACCAAGACACTGAGTTTTACCGTGGTGTACTTCCGTAGCCAATTGAGCTGTACTAGGGAGTGTACGTGTGGCACTCAGAGCCTCGTACCATGTTGGTCAATGGGTGGAGGTCCGCCAACCATCGCTGCCTTGCAGTTAGGCCTCCGGTTGAGCATCCTAAGGGTCCTCAGTAGATACGTAACCATGGGCTGCACAAGCGCAAGTGATCTCATGCCATATCGGTTGTCACGTGTTGCAGTCAGCTGGATAACCCTATTTGCTGCATACACCAGGGTGGGTAGGAGAAAACAGGCTACCGCTAATGCTCGTCTTCTTCGTCTTTCACCTATTCGTTCTGTCCTCCCCACCCCGTTCCTAGTGACATCTCTACTCTTAAGGCCTGACAAATCCCCCACCACCAACTGCTCTTAGCTGAAAACTGTACGGTTGACTCGGTCGCCACTACCATAGTCACTTTGACATACTTTTCCAAGCCCCCAGGTTCAGTTCACCTGCCAGCCTTTAACACTCACGATCTCTAACAAGCCAGACAGCAAACCATTCTTGCATGTACGTTGAACCCTGCGACGAGGATTCAAGACCCAGTTACGATTGTTGAACTGACCTCCCATCGGTTTCCACCCGTTTCCATTCGCGCACTTCTGTTGGTTCAGAGGTCGTTGCTGTTGGTTGTGGTGGGGTTGCCGTTGTTTTAAGCCACCCAGTTGAAGGTCCTTTGATAGTCATCCCTGTGGATATTTTGGCAACACTTGTGATAGTATCACTTAAATGAGCCATTGATCGCTTTTCGTTCATCGTATCTGCCTATCCTAAAAAGACAGTCTCTCAAAAAACAGTTTGAAGAGATCTTAATGATTGGTTCTCCTTATACTTTAAAACCTGGCCAACTTGATGACCTACTTACTTAGCCTGATGAATCTTTTGTTTTGAAAAAAAAATGTTTCCCAGTTAAAAACTACCTTCTGAAACAAAGTCTTTGATACTCTTTAAACATCTAAGCGCGGGCTAATGGTACACTTATTCCTTTGGATATGAATTTGCAAGTAGACTTAGCACTGCTGAGGCTAAATTGGGTGGTCTTCTAGGACTGGGATCGAGACGCATGGACAACGGTGAACGTCTGCTGCATTCATGTACCGACAGCGATCTCTACAGTATGAACTTCTGAAATAGCCGAAGCTGCTTAGCCACATGGTGCCCCATACATGCGACCCACCCCCAAACCCAGATAGACCATATCACTATTAGCTTTAGATGGCCTTGGTCAGCTACTGGTTGTCGCTCGTTCCAGAATACCTAAATGAGTTCGGATCACGTGCTGGTCCGTTGCTGCTTCTCGTTGCGCTTTCTGGGGGCGCGCAAACTGTGCCCAACTCGCCTGGCAATGGAGAAGCTCTCGGTCAAGTCTACTAGAACCATCTGCTGAAGTTCCTTTCGGACAAGATGTCTTCTGACATTGGCTCTTGCTGGAAGGTACTGTCGGAAACTCTGCATGATGCTGAACGCTCTCCTTGTGAAATGGTTTAACCAACGGAGCATAGGCACTGAGTCTCGAGCAACACTGAAATTGCTCAAATCTTGGACCCGTATTCATCCTTGTTGGTAGTACCGTGCAAATCGATAAACCGTCAAACGTCAGGAGATCTACGCAGATCGAGAAGCCTGGTTGGTCCAGAAAGCGGAGGAAGTAGAAGAAGCAGGGAACCTTGTATGTGTGCGCAAGCTGTTTCAGCTGATACTCTGACCGAATCGATCACTGATAACAGCGACTCGCTTAGCTCTCAGAAAGAAGAGTGCCTAGTTCGTTGGACTGGACATTTTCAAGACCAGTTCAACTGGTCACCTGCAGTCGTTCAGCCGGATTCCCAACGGGCAACGCAGCTCTGGTCAATGAACCTGGATACTTCGATGGCGTCGGAAATACGTGAATTCTTTTATCTATTGGTCCTGATGATATCCCACTGGTTCTATTCAGAAATGGAGGTAGATCCTCGTTCGGTGCTTGTCTGACCTATTTATCCCTTTCTGGGCACAACAGACCGTCCCATCCAACTAAAGTTAGTCGGAAAAGGTGCTCGGAGTGATTGTGGCAGCAACACAGGAATTTTCTTTAGCACCGTTGTAAGACTTTACGTCATCTTACTGAGGCGTTCCAGGACGAGAATAGGGAACAACAAGCTGGATTTCAGTCAAGAAGGGTCTGTGTGGACCACATCTCTACACTTAGTCGGAGCAGTACGCTTGCGCAACTGGGTGTGCCCCAAAAGTTCATGAATACCATGTGCTGTTTTAATTCACGGGTGCGGGAGCGTATGCGGAGCTACCAAAAGCCATCCTGCGAGCAGTGGTATCCGACAAGGATTTTCACGAAGTATATCATAAGGGTCGTTGTAGCAGTTAGGCTCGACCACGAGGACCAGATAACGGCTTCGTGTGCGGATTTAAAAACGTCTTTGAAAATTTCCCGCAAGCGCAACAATATTCGCCAACTTGTCATATTACGTGCGCACTCACCCGCGCATCGTGAATATTGCGTCACCTGATGGAACTCCTTGACCTAACTTATATTTAAGTCATCCGGACTCCAATAGCCCATGGCAAAAAAGATAATAGTCACAGCTTTTGCTCGAATTTTGCAGACAAGCAGTTTGCTTAATCGTTCATGGGCTCGTTCTTCATCCCAGCGCTCGACACGTCTCTCACTTTCATAAGTCACCATGTCGCACCTGAAATTGATGTACCCTTCGAAAACAACAACATCAACCTCACAGATTTCCCAATGCAGCCGCTCCTCGGTTAGCGCAATAAAATTACGCTTTCTCTTCTAAATTACGTTTTCTCCATTGGTTTATTTGGCTGCAACCATTAGTACACAAAATGTACGCAGCGTGTTGTTAGAAGGTCCGTGGATCAACATGGTTGGTACCCTTACTGAACTCCTTCATAATACCATAAAAGTTTTAAGATACAAGGAATTCTCATTACGAAACTTTCTTAATTAAAATGCACTAACCGACTCTGGTTGAAGATTATGAAACTCCGTGGGTGGAATGGATTTTCCAGTCCATGACATTCTTTCAAGTCCACACTTCCTTACCAGTAACTGTTGTGTTTACTCATTGGTTCAAAAATGTCTCTTGAGGGTTTCTTTGGCAATAAATAAATTTAATACACTATTATCCTTCATATAGCGCCTTCGAACCCTATACCGTGCCACTTCCGAATTATCTTCGTGCCTTCATACTTTTTTATTACACTCTTAACCGCCTAAAATAAACTACACAATGATCCCTGTGAAATTTCCAAGAGTCATTGTACGGGTTAGCCGATGTCTCAGAGGTATTTTCCTGCCAGTGCCGATGTTATTTCGATTTTTTCTGATGTACTTTGAGGATTGCGTCCTTCTCGTCCGCTATATTCTTGATTGGCATTCACATTATTCAGCAGTCCCAAATAATTCGGCTCCGTGTTTTTGCTTATTTGAAGAGTGGATATGGCTTCCTTCGTCTTCAAATCACCGGTATTTTCATCCCCTCTCTTCCGCCTGAATGAACTCCGCTTTATTCATTTGGACGTCTCTCTCCTCTCTCTCCCCAATTCAGATCTTATATTTCACAATATTGAAGCCATAACATGGTCAGCCGGTAGATAAAAGACTTACCTAGTCGAGCTGGCATCCGTTAGAAAGTTACGCTTCCACTCAATGACTCCTTTCCTGAAAAGATCCTGGTTTTTTGTCGCTGCTAGGATTTTAACGCTGATGCTATTGCCACAATCTAGTAAGCAATCTGTCGTTGGTTCGTCCCATACAAATTGTACCTGCACGATAAATACCTCATATGCGACTGTATAGTCTTACCTAGTCGCTGGTTTGTGCTTTAGGTATCAGTGATTTGTGCCAACAACACCCGCTTCGCATGCGTGCGGAAACCGTGTAAGTAGCCGTGGAATAATATTTTAAAACGTTACATCTTAAGCAAAGACGGAGTGCAACTGGAACAGACGCTTAAAAACTCTGTTGCAGTGGTTTTGTTTAATTTCTTTTGTTTTTCTTCATTTATGGGATAATGACGCGTAGTTTTCGCATATTCATTTGTGAAACCTTTCTGAAATCCAGAAGGATGTCTTGGCTTTTAGAGTAATTCTTGCCTATTTCGACAGTACACTTTGAAAAAAGGAACGTTTGCAAAACATGTCTACTACTCAACTCTCAACTTTGTGGGTATTTTCGCCACTCTACTTTGGAGGCTCGATACACGCCGTATGTTTTTTCTGTCTGTCAATTTAAGTGTAAAAAACTGTCTTTGAGCCAATGGCAACACCAAAGATCCAAACTTTGTCAGGTGCAAAAAAACGGAAACTATGGTTTGATACACAAATTATTGTTAAACCAAGTACCTACGGATCGGCAGGGCGTATTTAGCACTATTCACCTGCCGTTTCGTTGCAGAACGGTATATATCCAACTCTCCTTTTGAGCACGACCCATTCTGCACTGTAATCAGATGCGTCAGACGACTGACTGCGGTGCGTGTGCCGCTCGTCGAATTACGAAAGAATCGATCGGTCCGACTGAAATGTTCACGGTGGTGTATCAACTTCCTGTTATTCATTAGCACAAATGGTAGGACTGAGCCCTACCTGCCTACTCGAGGGGCAGCTAACTGCAACCAACTAATGTGGTGTAAACGTGTGTATCCTAGACCTACCACACAAACCATTTGGAATGCACATGGTCACAACTAATGCCAAGGACCCAATTGTCTCCCTAGCCCATCAGTCAGCTGATTCTCCATTGAGGGTCTCTTTTTGATGCACAATAATTGTCCGTTTAAAGTCTGCCGAGTTCTGTTCAACGGGTTCTGTGTTTCGTGGGACACAAACGGTTTTAGCTGTAACGCCTTGAGGCAGCGAGTCGTCTCCGGTCTATTGGCTGTAGTTTGAAGATCCATGCGTTCGAGTATAGTGATTTATTCTTAAAGTTGAACCTTTATTGTTACAGAAAAGACGTAATCTGCTATCGGAATCATGTATGCCAATGTCTATGGGGCATCCACGTCCACTATTTGCTTCTCAACTTTTGGCTCGGGCACTGCTAGGGTTAGTCAATCTCATTACACGTGGATGCTTTTCCGTGGGTTTTGATGAAGTGTTGCCTCGAAACAGCTTCATTTCTGTATCTTACTTTCTGTCCATATTTTCCATCCTCCTTGTAGAACGAAATCCGCGAATGCATCCGTTTCCTTGTCCGTGCACCTATCGGACAGCACTCACTCACTACGTTGACTTATCCGGTCCCCCACGCTTGCAGTTGTTGACTATCTTATCTGCTCACGCCACTGACGCCGAACATGCCCGTCAGCTTCGTTACCTGGGCAGCAATACGCCGGAAAGCAATGTAGGTAATCAGGATTTTTGAAAGATTTCGCGTCCCCTCCCCTGTTCTCACCTTTTGTTGTCTCTCCCGAGTTCTAAGACTGACTGGCTATTTCCTGAATGACTTTGCCAGTCCCACTATTAACCGTATATCCAACGGAGAACTGCTTTTTGTCACTTGGCTTGCAATCGATTATGTGTTTTTGTTTAACATCGTACACGAGCGGGATCAAAATCTTAGACTTCTCTTGACAAGTAATGTCCAATATGTATAAAGCACTTCAGCTGAGGTTGCTACACGGAATGTCTTCTGAAATATCACATTTTTGTGATATTCAAAGTTTAACTGAACAGCAGTGTTATGATGGTTCGGTTTTATTCATTCACATGATTTGATATGAATGACTTTACCACTTCCCTGACTTGTCGTATCGTACTGGAAAGCCTAAAAACTGGGACAAGTTGATTTTCTAACCAGCTAATTCCGCCTAATTTTCTCACAGGAATACTATTCTCGTTGGGTTCTGGAGGAGCGCAGGAATGTTGTTGATGTTATTGTGCAGTTCCCTTCCGTCCGGATCTCCGCGGACTATCTGCTCGAGTTACTGCCTCGAATAAAACCAAGGTTCTACAGTATCTCATCCTCTCCTCTGCGGGATTCCAACAGGCTACATTTGACTGTTGCCATTGTGGCCGAACAGACACCGAACGGTATGTCAACTTATATTCTTGTCACGGTTGATCACCATATTTCCTCCGCACTTATTCGGGACCACTTCACATATTACTTACAAGTGCGGAATCGATCGTTCAGATAGCCAAAACAGTTATTTACTTATTTGCTATCGTATGTTGTGGAATCGATCGCGACGATTTTCAAGGTTGCAGGACTTATTCAAAATACACCCGAGGGGAGACTGGTAGCCGGTCAGCTCACCTGTCCGATTTGCCATCAAGGCAGAAAAACATCACTGATCAATGGCCAGTTTTCTTTAAAGTGAACGGTCTTCTATTTCAACGGCGGATGTGATAACTGCCGGGCAAAGAGATTCGAATGTAACTCGATTTATAGCCAGCAAGGGCGTTCGGTTGGTTGCATTTTGTGACAGTGGTAATTTGCGGATGCGATGGGGATTACCAGGTTCATGCATTGCTCGTCAAAGGACTACAAACTCCTGAAATATTGCCAATGTGATTGGTGGACTTCCGAGGTTAACTGACGATATCGATTGTTGGCAAAAGAATAAAATCTGTTTTTTTGAGGAATTCAGAGACAACCGGAAACACTTATTGAACCGGTTAAACCAGATGGAATTCAACAGTATCAGGGATTTTGCCCCTTGTTTCTGCTTCCTTGTTCTATGCGCATCCAGAATGTGTCAAAAATGCAATAAGTACAATCACTACCCATCACTCCTGTGAGAGCGGTTTGCATTTTTGAAGCCCCAACTTTTTTTGCTTTAAACAGACCATACTGGTTGTGTCCTTTCCCCAGACTGTTATACACGGTGCTAATAGCCTTATCGGAAGTGTTGTTACGCGTCCCGATGTAGTCATTCAGCTTTAGCATCCTTCCGGTGCCTAACTGCCATGCCACCAGAGGGAAGGACGAGGGCAGGGATACTGCCAGGTTGTCCAAGTCTGGACAGGGGAAGTCCAGAGACAGAGGTCGGGTTCGAACCTGGGACCTTCCGGTCAGTAGATTCGCGCTCTAACCACTTAGGCCATCTCGCCCCAATGCAGTGGGCCCTGGCGACAGTACGGCCTTGGCGGTTCCACTGAGCGAAAAGCTTCCTATGCTGTATGAAGTTTGTAGAGTGAGCTTCAGTAGTTATTATTCACTTTCAATTCATATGACGCTGTGTTTAGGGAATCAGGGTTGCCAAAGGAAACAATGTCAAGAAGGAGCACCAACAAGGTGGAATTGCTATGGATACTGACTTTCTAGCGGATGTGCTTCAAAGTACGGTTTACAGTTCGCGACATTTGAGGAATCAGTGTATACCTGCGAACAGTACGTCATGCACGAAGGGAAAAATATCCTGAGTTGTCCTGACTTTTGTATCTTAGCTAGGAAGACGTCGATTTTCAGTACGCATGGATGTCGCATTGCAGTTGCATACAGCTATTTCAGACAGCTGCTTAGCATCAGAGGTTGTCCTAGTAATAAAACAATTGTAAGAGATGATTCGGTCCACAAGGACTGTTATGGTCTCGGACCTAACACCCGTGTGAGGAAAATGAAACCTCCACTGTCTTCTGATCCCTGAGAGTGAACTCTACTTTGATTTACTTGCAAGGGGCATTATCTGATTAGGATGCGCGCATTGTTGCATTTGCCTAGTTCAACAAAAGGACAAGAAAACAGTATGGTGAGAAGGATGGGATGTATCAGTTTACGCAGAGCGTGGTTTGCGATTTTAGATTTGTGGGTTTTCAAGCCTCCTCATGCTACTTGCATTATGGTTTCACATCCTGAGGACGCTATAAAAGAGAAACGATGTCTACAACAAGGGCATCATCACCAAGAACATTGTATTATGACCTTGGTGAATTCTCTTCGAAGTTTTCAGCAACCTTGTGAGTAGTTCCCTTTGTGAAAACATCGACCTTCGTTCGTCTGATAGCCTATTTATGGCCACTGTTGCTTGTGGAAAACTCGGTTTCTAGGACCGTACTGGTTTTATTTCGTTAACAGTAAACGACTATCGGAAAAATATATGATTCGACTTCCAAATCAACTGAATGAAGCCAGCTTGTTCTATCTCACTTTTATCTCATCCTTGTTATGTCACCTTCCGATTCTCGTAGGATCAACTTTCAAAGGTTTGACGACACAGTGGCTGGAGGCCCTCGTCCCTGGGAAATCTGCTGATCGCTCAAATGGATCTCCAATTTTCCTACCAATCTACCATGAGATCAGTTCTTTCCATCTTCCTCGGAGTCACAACATTTCTGTGATCATGGTTGCAGCCGGCGCTGGGCTGGCTCCGTTTCGTTCTTTCATCCGTGAACGTCTTGAACAGACGCGTATAAATGGTAGGCTTTCGGTTCTGGTTGCTCCTTTTTTTAAATTTTTTGTAGATCTTGTAAGTTTTCTTGCCCTCTGCTCTCCCTTCTCCGTCGCAGATCTTACTTGGGGATCGTCCTTAGCCTATTTTTAAGGCTACCGATTAACGTCGTAATGGATATCCATAATCCGAGGAACTATAATTAGTAGAATCTTATTAACTTTCTAAATATCATCTACAGAATAGTGATATATCGTGTAACAATACTGTCTGTGTGCTTATTTATCCATCTTCCAGTTAGGGGATGAATTCCACTTGCCATTTGGAGCATTTTTTTCTGTTCGGTGTTACGGTTCATTCGAAACGGACCAATGTTTTCCACCACTTTTTGTCCGCTTTCAGTTTTACAGGGGGGCTCTACCCGACCCACTGAACTTTTCAGTGCTACGCTTACGATGGTATTAAAAGTTACCTCAAAGTGACTGCTGCTTTGCAGGCCAAACTGAATACTGTTCAATGATAGCTGTAAGATCTGAGTGGCTCAGAGCTGTCTTACTATACACAGTCGGTAATCAAATGACATATGGGATTAGGAGCAGACGGATGAGGACAATAGTTTGTGTATTGACTACTAGTTTCATGAACAGTCGGGTTAATAAACGCCATGAGACATACGATCAACAGTGGCGCGATCGGTAGGAGCAGGAAAAGGGGACAGCAAGTTAGCAGGGCTCTGGATACGGGCACTTGGGCCGTTTAAGTGCGCACTATAAAGAAATGACGGCGCGGAGGACAGTCAGTTTGTTTGGAGATATTTCCGAATTAAAAGGAAATGGAAACTACCTGCAGTCTTTGGCTGACAGCGTGACAAAGTAGCGCGTGCTACGCATCAAAATCGAAATGTGCGATTAGACTCGTGTGAAACAAAGTCCCAACAAGCGCTGTGAAGATGCAATACCTAGGTACAAAAACACGGCTGCAGGGGTAGTCGAGTTGGCGCAGTGGATAGTGCGCTTGTCCGCCATCCGAGGGACCCGCGTTCGACCCCCGAGTCACCCAACATTCCGTCGCAACAGACACGAAGTTGTACGCTTAGATGTACAGGCGACAAAATCTTGACATTAGTAAGTACAGGGCTTGCACACCTCGATCAGGCAGCACAGGAACCGCGAAGCGAAACGCCACTCATGAGTAGTTAAACAAGTGGGAAAAACACCCGCCGATTGCCGTTGATCCACAAGAGTCAACAATAGCGACTGGTGAGGATGAGCCTCCAGCCATCTCTGACATTCTACCATATTAAAATATCGGCTGGATTCTCCTGTTTCTTGCAGATGTCGTTAGCAGGGGAGGTCATGAAATATATATTCCAATTGAGATCACCCAGGTCCCGTTTTTGAACATTAAATGCTTCCCGTCCCTTGGACATGATATTCAAGACAGTTTCAGATGGAATTATCTACATAAATCCTTGATTCCACCAACTAACTTTGATCTTTTTCTGGACTTAGGATTCAAATCGGCCCGTATGCTGCTCTTCTTTGGTTGCCGACATGAGGCTGAAGATTTCTTGTATTTTGACGAGCTTCTGGCTGCTAGGAACGCCGGCCTACTTGAACTGCATTTAGCCTTCTCGCGCGATTCCCCAAATGAAGCAAAAGTGTATGTCCAACACCGGATGCTTGAGGCGGCTGGAGAGATTTGGCACCTTTTGGACGAGTGTAATGCTCATTTTTATGTATGTGGGTGAGTTTTTTTTAGCCAGCTCATTTATGGGGACACCACGAGATAAACCCCTTGTCGAGGAAGCACAATTTCGGAAGGATCTGGTGTCGTTTGGATTATCTCTATGTATAAGATTTCCTGAACACTGTCGCCCCAAAATTATACGAACCATCTTCCATCAGACGCTAGTGTAAAGCCGCTGGGCGTCAAATTGGACTTAATGCCCGTTTTTGCGATTTTCATGATTTCAAGGACTGGATTGTAAGAAGAAGAAGATCCAACGGCTCGCAGAGTCAAAGGCCAAAATTCAAGTGCCTTTGAATCATTTTGTTATTATGGCAAAAGAATAGTCGCGAATGCAGTGTTGTGTGGTAGAATAGTAAAGGGCATTTTCACGGGATTGTTTTGGATGGACGCGTTCTCACGATAGACGGGTATTCAGCGTGAAAACCTTTCGTACGCAAGGAATTGATTCGGTGGCTCTGATCGAATTGGTTCACAGAACGTGTCAGCTGTGAGCCATACAACTGAACTGTTTGCATGATAATCCTGACAACAGATGAAACCATAGTCCGGTTGTTGCTGGGGTAGATGATCTTCGTTAGAGAATTCACTCGGGTTTTGTCAATTTGTACCTTACCGCAGCTGTGCCGTCTCTAGTGATGCCGATGGTGAATTTCGGCTTAGGGGTGATTTGCTTTTTTGACTAACCATCGTGCCCTCGCATGGTGGCATAACGAACCTGGGAAATTCTGTGATCCGTCTTAGCCTAGAGAACGACAGATAGGATGTGGCTGAGTTCCCAAAAGGCAGGCAGTCCACACGATACCGTTTGCGTTTTTTGTATGGCTCCCAAGGGGGTTTGGGGGGG